ATTAATAAAAAAAAAAAAAGAATAAAAAAAGGAAAGCCAGTAAACCATGAGAGGAGAGCAAGAGATGAAAGGAGCAGAGAAGAACTGCACAAACAACCATAAACAAGTAACAAAATGGCAATAAGTACATACTTATCAATAATTACTTTTAATGTAATGGACTAAAGGCTCTAACCAAAAGACATAGGATGATGGAATGGATAAAAAAGCAAGACCCATCTATATGCTGCCTTTAGGAGACTCATTTCAGACCTAAAGACACTTGCAGATTGAAAATTGAGAGGGTGGAGAAACATAATGCAAATGGAAGTGAAAAGAAAGCCAGGGTAGCAATACTTATATCAGACAAAATATAATTTATTTTTTTATTTACTTAGAGAGAGGGAGCATGGACTGGGGAGAGGCAGAGAGAGAATCCTAAGCAGGCTACGTGCTGTCAGCACAGAGCCCAACACGGGGCTCAAACTCATGAACTGTGAGATCATGACCTGAGCTGCAATCAAGAGTCAGATGCTTAGCCAACTGAGCCACCCAAAATAAACTTTAAAACAAAGACTGTAACAAGTGACACAGGAGTACTTATATTTCTGATACTGCCTTAGTCCTACAGTTCTGAAGCATTTTGTAAAGATAGGCCCCTTAATGGTAATAACAGTCACAGACCTCCTACACACCCAGAAATGCGCATATGCGGATCTCAAACAATGTTACACAAGATGTCAAGGAATCTGTGGACCTCACGTTAAGAACTCTTATGTTGGTGACTCAAATCACATTTATTACACAGTACATCCACATGTCCTCTATCCAGATATATTTGCCAAACGTAAATACCTAATAACACAGTGTCTGGTTCATCATTCAGAGAAAATGTAACAGAGTAGATAGATACATGCTTACATACAGACCATAAATAAGTGCCAAACCAGTGATTGTGACCATGTGCTGTAGGAGGAGTTCAAAGGAAGGAAAGATTAATGCAGGCAAAGATGGTCTAGGAAGATTTCCTCAAGGGGGCAGACCATTTCCGTTAGGGGAGAACAGTAGGAGATAAAATGTACAAGTCAGAAAGTGGGAGGGGAGCCAGGAGAAAGATGTGAACAGAGGTAACAATGGGAAGACAGGGTTGAGGCCTGAGTGGCCAGACAGCCGAGGACAGGCTGTGGAGACAGAGGACTGGATGGGCGAAGGAAGAAAGCAGATGAACTAGCTGCACTGCACCAACAAAAATCACCATTATCAGAAACAGCAAGTAACCATCAGCCACAGAACTAATGGGGGCTGTGATGCCTTCTAGGGTTTCGTGAGAGTCAAGAAGCCAGAATAAATCCCATCTATGCCTCTAGTTGTGAAAATATAAACTTAGCTACTCTGCATTTTTGTTTCCACAACACAACTCTATTTATAATTCCTTATACACACAGTGCTCTTCTTGCCTTTTTGCCTTTACTCAAGACATGCCCTCTTCTAGAACAGCCATTTGTCTGACCAAAACTCTGTTCATTCTCTCTCAAAAACTTCCGGTGCTCCTTACCACGAGACTGGCGAGTACCCTGTGCGTGCGTGCACCATGGTAGCGTGCGCCTGCACTGATCTGTTCACCAGCTTAACTCCCCGTGTGGACAGAAACTATCTGGCTTACCTTCTCATTCCCTGTGCGCACGGAGCTGGGTTATCCTAAAAGGCCTCTGCAGGTCTCCCTGGCTTCAACATGTGACCCTCCAGAACTGTGATTCCATATCTTGACATCAAGGTAATCTTTGCTGAACTAAAATTCAAGGCTGTTTTTGTTTGTTATTGGAGGTGACATTACCAGTGGCCATTTTAAACTACACACAGGCACACATCAGAGACACTGTGGGTTCAGTTCCAGACCACTGTAATAAAGCAAATATCATAATAAAGTGAGTCAAATGAATTTTTTAGTTTCCCAGTACTTATAAAAGTTATGTTTACACTGTAACTATTAAATATGCAATAGAATTCTATGTCTTCAAAGACAATGTTCATACTTTACTTTAAAAATACTTTATTGCTAAAAAAAAAAAAAAAAAAAAGGCTGACCATCATCTGAGCTTTCAGGGAGTTGTAATCTTTTTGCTGGTAGAAGAAACTGCCTCAACATTAATGATGCTGACTGATCAGGGTGGTGGCTGCTGAAGGCTGGGGTGGCTGTAGCAATTTCTTAACAGTGAAGTTTGCTGCATCAATGGACTCTTCCTCTCCCAAAGTTTTCTCTGTGCCACATGATACTGCTTGATAGCATTTTACCCACAGTGGACCTTCTTTTAAAACTGGAGTCCATGGCTCAGTCAGTTGAGCATCTGACTTAGGCTCAGGTCATGATCTCACAGTTTGTGGGTTCGAGCCCCGTGTCGGGCTCTGTGCTGACAGCTCAGAGCCTGGAGCCTGCTTTGGATTCTGTGTCTCCCTCTCCCTCTGCTCCTCCTCATCTCATGCTGTCTCTCTCTCTCTCTCTCTCTCTCTCTGTCTCTCTCTCTCAAAAATAAACATTAAAAAAATTTTAATTGGGGTCAATCCCCTCATCCCCTGCCACTGCTTTATCAACTAAGTTCCTGTCATACTCTAAGTCCTTTGTTGTTGTTTCAGCAGTCTTCTTGGAATCTTTACAGGGTAGATTCCATCTCAAGAAGCCACTTTCTTTGCTCATCTGTAAGAAGTAACTCCTCATCCGTTAAAGTGCTATTCTGAGATTGTGGCCATTCAGTCCCATCTTCAGGCTCCACTTGTGATTCTAGTTCTCTTGCTGTTTCTACCCCATCTGCAGTAACTTCCTCCACTCAAGTCTTGACCTCCACAAAGTCACCCATGAGGGTTAGAGTCAACTTCTTCCAAACTCCTGCGAATGCTGATATTTTGACCTTTTCCCATGAATCACAGATGTTCTTAATGACCTCTAGAATAGTGAATCCTTTCCAGAAGGTTAATTCACTTTGCCCATATCCATCAGACGAATCACTATCTATGGCAGGTACAGCCCTAAGAAATGTTTTATTTTTTAGTTTTTTATTTTAGAGAGACAGAAAGCAGCAGGGGGAGAAAGAGAATCTTAAGCAGGCTTCACACTCAGCGCAGAGCCTGATGCAGGGCTTGATCCCACAACCTTGGGATCACGATGTGAGCTGACATCACAAGTTAGAGGCTCAACCGACTGAACCACCCAGGGGCCCCTAAAAAACGTATTTCTTAAATAATAAGACTTGAAAGTCGAAGTTACTCCTTGATCTATGGGCTGCAGAATAGATGCTGTGTTTGCAGGTATGAAAACATTAATCTCAGTGTCCACCTCCATCAGAGCCCTTGGGTGACCAAGTGCATTGTCAGAGAGTAGTCACATTTTGCAAGGAATCTTTTTTTCTGAGCAGTAGATCTCAACAGTGAATTTAAAATATTCAGCACACCACGTTGTAAACAGACGTACTGCCATCCAGGCTTTGTTGTCCCATTTACAGAGCACAGGGTGGATTGAGCAGAACTCTTAAGGGCCCTGTGGTTTTTAGAACGATCAGTGGGCACTGGCTTCAACTTTAAGTCACCACCTGCTTTATCCCCTAACAAGAGACTCAGCCTGTCCTTTGGAGCTCTGAAGCCAGGCACTGACTTCTCCTAAGAAAATCCTAGATGGCAGCATCTTCCAAAATGAGACTGTTTTATCTACCTTGAAAACCTGTTGTTTAGCATGGCTGAGCTGAACTAGATCTTCCGGATAACTTGCTGCAGTTTCGACATCAGCACCTGCTGCTTCACTGTGCACTTTTATGTAACGGAGATGGTTTTCCCCTTAAACCTCAGGAATCACCTTCTGCTAGCTTCCAACTTTTCTTCTGCAGCCTCCTCACCCTTGTCAGCCTAACTAGGATTGAGTTAGGGCCTTACTGTGGCTTAAGCTTTGGCTGAAGAGAATGTCGTGGCTGGTTTGATCTTCTATCCAGACTAGTCAGACTTTCTCCACATTGGCAATAAGGCTGTTTTGGTTTCTTAGTCTTCGCGTGTTCACCAGAAAAACACTTCATTTCAAAAACTTTTTCCTTTGCATTCACAACTTGGCTGTTTGGCAAAAGATACCTAGCTTTTGGCCTCTGGGCTTTGGATGTGCCTTCCTCACATAGCTTAATCATTTCTAGCTTCTGATTTGCAGCAAGAGGCGTGCGACTCTTCCTTTCACTTGAACGCATGGAGGCCAATGGAGGGTTATTGACTGACCTCATTTCAATATTGTCATGTCTCGTGGGATAAGGAGGCTTGAGGCGAAGGAGAGCGGTGGGGCAAATGGCTGGTCGGAACATGCACATTCATCAGTTAAGTGTGCTGCCTTGTCTGGGCATGGGTCTTCGTGCCCCAGTTACAATGTTAATATCAAAGGTCACTGATCCCAGATCACCATAACAAATACTGTGATAATAAAAATGTTTGAAATGTGAGAATTACCAACATGCACGATAGAAACACGAAGTATAAGTAAACGCTATTGGAGAAGTAGGGCCGACTGACCTGCTCAGTGCAGGATTGCTGCCATAGATCTTCAGTTTATAAAAAAGGCAGTATCTGCGAAATGCAGTAAAACAGAGTACGGCCATACGTCGGAGTGCCTGGGCCGCAGTCTGTGACTGTGGTCCTCTGCTTGCGTTTCTAGCATCTTTGCCTTGAGGGCTTTGGCGGCTGGAGCCCCCGGTCCACTGGTCCTGTCTCGAGCACAAGGTGCATGCTGTGAGCAGGTCACTCGGGACTGTCAACCACTGGGCGCTCTGCTCAAATGTCACCTCAGAGAGGGTTTCCCTGACCCCTGGATGGAAAATAAAAACTTAGCAGTCGCCGCATCCTATTTCGCTGCTTTATTTTCTTCATAGCACTTCTCACTGTCTGAATTCGGATCTCCGTATCTTTTATATAACATTTTATTCAAAGAATTATTCTTCTACCAATGGAAAGTCAACTTTCTCCTTAGTGTTTTAACTTTTTCTTACTTTTTATTTTTAAAGGAGGATTCTCTGGATCACATTTGAGACGTGGAAGAAATTTGCAAACTCTATGAAAGAGGAAAGGATAAAAGAAGAAAGGCGAAAGCAACTCCGCAGGAAGGTAGCTGAAATTCTCCCGGACTTCCAGATGCTCGCTCCACGGTGACTGTCGTAGCAGCAGCGGACGCTGGCCCTGGTGTCCCAGGAGTCCTTGGGGGAACGGTGTGCGTGCACAGTGCGGCGTGCAGGGTGGGCGTCCACACACACGTGCATACGCCTGCTCTGTCAAATACTTCCTGGACCAGAGGGATTACCCGCCGAATGTTCACTTCTTTCTTTGATTCCTCTTGGATTGCTAATTCACTAAAGCATTTATCACAGCAGGATTATTCAGAAGAACAGTCTAAAGCTCAACTATTCAAATGCCTCCTACATATTTTTAGAATCATAAACTTTAAAAGGGGACAAGTGTTTGCTTGCCTGAGCCTTTGAAGGCCTTATGATATAACATGAGTGGTTGACAAACGTACCTTCAAGAGAAATTAAAGGTAGTCAGTACTTAGAAAAGGAGTCACAGGTGCTCCATTACCTAGAAGGCCAGCATCAGGAACAGACATTCTGCCAGGCCCCATCCTTCTGCCCACCCCCAGTGGGAAAGCATGTGTCAGACCGGACTCGGTGCAGCTGCGGCAAAGGGCCGACCACAGACCCTCGTTTCAGAGATCCCTCCCTCCAGTGCATCCTCACCAGCATGAAGGGGATTCCAAGAGCCAACAGCTCCATCAGAAGCAGTCCAGATGTCTGTTAAAATGTGTGTTCGGGCTCACAACCGCGGCTTCACATAATATGCTCCGTCTGTCGTCTAGTCCTCAGCTCCGTTTGATCCACACACGGAGATAACTTTCTCAAAAGAAGGGTTTACCTTGAAGGTGCAGAAGACTACAAAGACTGACAAAATGAAAACACTTCATCACAAACAACAGGTTTACTGTAACAAATCCGAGTCATAGAGAAGGGCAGTCAGTAAAACCAGAAGGCCCCTTGCAGCCCCGAGCTCACTACTATTGTTTGGTAACTTGAGAATTTCAGTTGGTAAAATAAAACCATGCTGTTCAAGAAACCGCCGTCGTCTCTCACTCCCTAGGAGGAACGTGCCGTTGTGCCGCCGGCACAGTGGCCTCATCCTCTGTCTCTGGAACACGTGTAAGGATTTACTCAGAACTGACAAAACGCCCTCAGCCAAACTTGATTTCTTCTACAGACTCCCTGTCCCCACACATCCTTCCCTTTCACGTGAGTATACAGATGTCAGCTAAAAACTCATTGTGAGACCAACAAGCACTAAAGAAAACGGGACTAAAATGAACTCCTACTTCCTTAATCTCGCTCCATCCAGATCACCCTCTGCTACCCTTGCCTGTAGGACAGCACAGAACCCTGGCGGCCAGTAGCACCCAGACGCCAAATACCAACTTCAGGTCAGTTCCAAGCCTACAGATAAGGAAGGGTGAAGCGCTGAAGTCAACATGCCAAGGGCCCAAATAAATCCCATAAAGCTTAAGTTTTCTCTCAAGCTTTCCTTTATTCTTCCTTCACTCGCGCATCAATTAGGCAGTAAGTCTTTAGCAGCCCATGTTGTGACTGGGCCAGTGAGGGCTTCTTACGTACTTCAGAAACCTCCTAAAGACACACGAGAAAAATACTTTGTCAGTGACATCTGCTTCCTGAGGCACTATCCTGAAGACATGATTAGAAATGTTACCGCTAACAAAATGCCCAAACAAGCAGGATGCCTGGCCTATACTAGAAAATGTAACCAGCAGAAAAAGGCCAGTTCAGGACTAGGGTAACCTAGGTCACAGGATGGGGACCCCTCGGTAGCCAAAGCAGCGGAGCAGCTCTGACACAGGCTTTTCTAACAGCAAAACAGTTCAGGAGACACACTAAGAAACGCCATTTCCCTTAAAGAAAGCACTTTATTTTCCATTTAAGCAACTTGGTCACAGTACATTATTTTACATACATGGCAGTAATTTTTTAAATCTCCATTTAAAAGGCCTTGTGTCTGAGTCTGAGGTGATAAGAGGATATGAATACAAGTATAAAAACAGTGCAAAACATTTAGCCCGCAGCCTCCAGAGCTGGCGTCCGGAATCCCCTCGAACGTTGCTGGGCCAGTTACATTAAACATTGAATAGTAAATATTCCTGGGTGTCCTTTAGTCTAATATCAGACTCAGAAATGTAATCAAGTGCAACGGCTCCACAGCCCTAACAACTCAAACCATCAAATGACCCAGACCATAGGTCCGCGGCAGGCTGAGCTCCCAAGTTCCATGACATGGCGTCTTGGCAGTGGTGCCGTGGGAAGAAGCACGGGATGTGTGTCGCATCGATAACTAGCATAGACTAGCTCTGCTTTTAAAGATTTGCCTCTAAAGTATGAATTCTCTAGGAGTGAAGGTGCCACCAGGAAGGCTGGAGTAGCAGGAAGTCAAAAAGCCCTACTCGGAAACGTAGCTAGAAATAGCCACGACCTTTAAGAAAACTGTCTCCATTGGGGCGCCTGGGTGGCTTAGTCGGTTAAGCGTCCGACTTTCTCTTAGGTCATTATCTCGTGGTTCGTGGGTTTGAGCCCCGCGTCGGGCTCTGTGCTGACTGCCAGCTCAGAGCCTGGAGCCTGTTTCAGTCTGTGACTCCCTCTCTCTCTGACCCTCCCCTGCTCACGCTGTCTCTCTCTCTCTCCTAGAAATAAATAAAACATTTAAAAAAAAAATAGAGAAAAAAAAAGAAAACAACTGTCTCCATTAACCACTGGGTCTTTGGCTGCTGCTAAAACTACAGTGAAGCACTTGGTGCCTCCTGAAGTGGGGTTGACAGCCCACACGAGCAATAAGATTACATGTAGCTGATTTTGCAACAAGTTTCTTTTTTTTTTTTTTTTTTAGTTTATTTCTGAGAGAGAGAGAGACAGCGTGAGCAGGGGAGCGTCAGAGAGAGAGGGAGACACAGAATCTGAAGCAGGCTCCAGGCTGTGAGCTAGCTGTCAGCACAGAGCCCGATGCGGGGCTTTGAACCCACGAACCGTGAGATCATGACCTGAGCCGAAGTCGGACGCTGGGGCGCCTGGGTGGCTCAGTCGGTTGGGCGTCCGACTTCGGCTCAGGTCATGATCTCACGGTTCGTGCAACAAGTTTCTATTCATCGCAGCAAACACCCGGGAGAACGGGGGATTTTATCCAGCACTAAGCCTAGTTCTCATCCCTCCCCGCACCCCGCGCCACCGCGTCCGCAGTGTCTGATAGAACATGGCATGCTTGCCATGCTGCTGCCGAGGACGCCAGATTCCACACAGGTGCTGCAAGCAGAAGTCTCTATCATCCATGCTTGTCTGAGGAAATTCTCTCTATTCAAATGCAGGGGACCAAAATATGGCTCAAATGAAGTCTTATAAACCTACTTACCTCGTTTAGAGAGACCCTTACAGCTCACAAAACATGGTTAAACATCCTGGTTAAGACTGTGCTTCTAGATGTCGTATTTTTGCTTATATTAGTTTTGCAATAAAAAGCTAATTTCCTACCCAAAGGAAATATAGTCTATTAAGCAGATGGTCGGTATTCCAGAGAACCTTACTGGCATTGTTTTCTGGCAGTGGAAGATTCTAGTATAGAAAATTTTCTCATACTAAAAATATTAGAAGTACCAAGGGCTATTGCATAAGAGACAGTTTGTAGCAGTCTTTCCACTAGGCAGGTGGCACAATAGACGAGAACAATTACTTCATTCACCAAAGGATGACACTACTTGAATGGCAAAGATCTCCAGCATCATAAGCAGATGCAGAGGTGGCTGAGGTGAGGTGAGCAGCAATGTCCCTAAAACTCATGTAAGGCTTGTTAAGGGTCAATTCATTTCAGGTGGGCCCTGCCTGAACAAGGTACTCTTTGGATATCAGAAAAAACATTTTAAATACTGAAGGACTTTTTCCTTTCACGCAATCCTGATCCTTAACTACTTCTTCCCCTTAAATCCTCCAAATGGACTCACCTCTCTTCCCTAGGAATGGTACACAATGGCATGCCTGTTATGTGAGTGGTCAGGATATAGTGGCTCATTTACAAAGCTCCGTATCCAATATGTTCATTAACAGGCTGAGGATGTGGGGATGGGGGGACGGGGGGTGGGGGGGTGCTTGCCTCTATGGCCAACAAACTGCTGGTTTATACACCGTGCAGACCACGGCCACTGTCACCAAATGTATCTCTGGAACTCATTTGTTCACAGAGGCCTTGTCCTTTAAAGGGAAAAAAATAAATCCCTCTAATAGTTCCAGGTCATAACAAGGTGTAAGAATCTAGGAGTGTAGACTAAGGGTGTCCGAGGGCCTGGAGAAACCCTGCTCACAAACAGCCCCTTGTTTGCTGCTCCTTTTCGTGCAAATACTTCAGCAGGCTTGTACCCCCACCAAAACACCAAAGTTTTCAAAAGTTTGAGCTTTCTTCTGAAAAACGCCCATCATGAAGATCTCAAGGAACTTAAAACAAGCATCTTAGTTCCCACCACCCAGAATCGCATACAAGGAACCCTGCAGGTGTGGGTCAACTCTAGGGCTGTGTGGCTATGAAGATGGCAGTCGCTCCCAATCCTCCCACATGACCCTGGTCTCGCGGGGACTACTCATCTTTATTGTGGCCGATTTTGATGGCTGTCAAAGATTTAACAAGAGTGTCAAATTACCAACTATGCTAATGTTTCTATGAATTCTATCATCAACTGCTAGACAATCAGAGTTGCCTACACATCTGATGTTCAAGAGACCACAACTAGAGGTTTCTGGCCACAGGGGCTGTCCTTGACATTATTACTCTCTCAAACCTACGCAGAAAAGTCCTATCAGATCCAACGTTAACTCCAAACGAATGCCTGACTCTGGGCCAGCACCAGGGCATCACTGTAGAAACCACAGACTAACATCCCCAGACTTGCTCTTTGGCTCGTCCCAGGGGAATACGGAGCCTCTCACTGGTTAAACAATCCATCTCTGGGGAGAGCAGTGACAGCGACAAGACTGTATAAAAATGTGGTGAGTGAGTGTCTTAAGGACAGCTTCGTTCCATGGCAGAACTAGGGACGGTGCCAGCTGCAGAGGGAAGAGTTGCAGGAAGTAGCAGTATTTCCTCTCGACATTTATAAACCTCTTACTACGGCAGCATGCACAGAAAGACGGAAAAGCTGGCAATATTTCCCCTATATGAAGCTATAAGCCAAAGCAAATTTAAGGACTCATGAATTTTCTTTGGGATTGCAAAATAAGTACACTTATAAAACCAAACATTTCAAGAGGGTATTTCCCCCATTCCAAGATTGCCTCATCTTAATCTATGGCAGACAAGACCTATTCTCTATAAATATTTAATATTCTATACATTTTCAGTTTTAAGATATGATTAAACAGACAACTTATTATTTTAGGAAGAGCTAGGAACCGTGGTCCATTAATTAGTGGAAACCACATATACCCTGTTTCTTCTCTCCAAGTGAGATACTTTTGTCTAGGGAACGGTGAATGAGAAGTCATGTGCAAGTAAGAAATGTCAATCAATTCCTCAGAGAGTTCATGCCAGAAGAATGTGAATGCCATAGACCGGCTTTTGCAACCCAGTGCTATAACTGACAGTGTTTGAATTACTTACACGAAAAAAAAAAATCAAGCCCTTGATATTAACCAGCCACCCTACCCAGGAAAGAGGGTAAAATGCTCCCCACGAGGGTGTCTGTTCTCCTCTTCCAGCCTCATCCTAAGTGCTCTAGCACCTTCTCAGGTGAAACATGGAAAAGAGGAAAACACCAGAAATGCCTACTAGAGTTTGGAGTTATGTAGAGTAAATCCAAACAGAATAAATGTATAAGAAATAAGATAAAAAAATAAGGACTCATCACCTAAACTCATGACCAGCGTATATTACACTACCAGGAATTGTAACTGTTATCAACTGTCCCTTCAAGATCAGATGAGTGTCTACATCTATCTGGTCGTCCTCTACCTCGTTTGGGTAGTTAATGTCTAATACTTCAGAGAGTGAAATTACCGTAACTATACAATGTGGTATTTCAGGATCTTTCATTCTAAAATGCTGAAAGTGGATTACTCTGATAGTTTTGGCTTCAACATTCTGATCTATAAACAGTTTTCTCAGTCTTAGAATTTTCCTAATAATACTTCATACCTGTTGAGTGCTTTAGTCATTTTCCAGTGCCGTCCACATACCTCATCCCGCGCATGACCCTCACGAATGTGTGGTGAGCCAGGGTAGGCACTAGTACCCCCACTTTACAGATGAACCTGAGACTTGAGGAGGTGACTCAACTAAGGGTCACATGGCTATCAGGAATTGAAAGAGGGCCTGGAAACTACCCCAATCCAAACTCTCCCGCCTACTAACAGATGGGAACTGCTTTGTCAATCTGTGCACTAGCAATCCACATCCTCTTCCACATGGTGACGGAGTTAGTTAACAAGGTGACTGGAAAAGAATGGCTCTACTTTTACTGCTTCGATATAAAAATCTCTTAGGGTGAAGTCAGGAAAATTCATTTCTTCCCAGTCCAATGTCTAAACCTGAGCATGGCCCCGTACAGCCTTTAAGAAACTGGGGGTAAAAACGAACATCCTGTGTGGACACTGAAGTGTACAGTGGGAGGGAGCAGAGGGAGGGGCTGCCCCTCGCAGAGCCACACGGAAGGCACTTCAGACAATGTCCTCGGCAGGGTGGTGGAAGGGGTGGGCGCCCAGGGTGGAGAACTGGTACCAGTTCCGCAGGAAGCCCCGGTTGTACTGGCCTGTGTCCACGATGAGCCCCCAGAGGAGCCGGCGCCCCGTCTTCTGTCGAAGGGCCTGCTGGACTTCCCTCTCAGTGACGTTGTAACTGATGTTTATCAGCTGGATGAGGAAGATGTAGGCCATGCCTGCCGTGACGATCACAGAGTACCACACGCAGGTGAAGGACAGCGCTGAGCTGGGAGGAGAAAGGGTGGGTCAGGACTGCCCATCTTTTCAGTGGGAAAGTGGCGCCATGCTAACATTTGACACACGCAGTATTCCTTATGAAGGACTTCAGCGCCGTCCCCCTTCCTCTCCCGATTGGAAGATACTTTTCTACCCTCAGGACACCAGAACGCTTAATTTAGGACTGTTCCCACGACCTGTTTTATGCTATGATCATGTTTTATGCCTCTTTTTCTAGAATGTTGTATTACAGTAGCAAGGACGTTTTTGTATTTGGCGTCCCCACTCAGCCAACACAGTGCCTCCCATGACAGCATCCGTAATCTATCGAATGAATGAACAATTCCGAAATCATTCTTAACTGAGCAGACACTGCTATAAACGTCCTCAAGGAAGCTGTGGGTGGGAACGCGGAACAGTGCTAAGGCCCTGCATCGCCATTCTTTTCATTCCAGTCAGTACAACGCCGATGGACACAAATCGCTACGAGCTCTGACTTCTATGGAGGAGCCCCATCACATCTCAAATCCAGCCTCCTCAAGCCAAACAGAACTACACCAGACAGGAGAGTGCCTTTCAGCTCACCAGGAAGACTGTGAGGCCAAGGCCGTTTAATGTCTGCCAGCTGACTCTTTTCAAACATTTGCAAATGAAGGGCCAGCAGGAAATGAACCCATCCCCAGGAATCTTCATTTGTTAACCTGAAAGGGACTCAGAGCTATAATGAATTCACCAAAGAGATAAGGAAAACCAAAGCTCAATCCGGTGATGTGAAGCACATGTATGGAGGGTGAGTGCCAATGGCAGACCATGTTCCACATTCCAGGTCAGTGGCCCCCAGAAAGTTCACAAAACTCATGCTTAGCAACACACAGACATGCTCTGCTTTGGGACTTTATCACCCACATTTCACGATCTCTAACACTCTCCATACTGGAAGAAAAGGAACTGACCCTGAGGAGGACCAATCTATTCTAATGCTTACAAATCTCTAGATGGAGAACAGCAATGGGGGATCTGGCCTCAGACTAATATAAACAAATACCTCCACAGAAGCACTATGTAGGTAAAGCGGGGATTATTCTGAAAATGAAGAGTAATAAAAAAGACAAGAAGGGGCAACTGGGTGACTCAGTCTTTTAAACGTCCGACTTTGGCTCAAGTCATGATCTCACAGTTCACAAGTTGGAGCCCCACGAGAGACTCTATGCTGACAACTCAGAGCCTGGAGCCTTCTTCGGATTCTGTGTCTCCCTCTCTCTCTGCCTTTCCCCCACTCACACCCTGTCTCTCCCTCTCTCTCTGCCTTTCCCCCACTCACACCCTGTCTCTGTCTCTTGAAAATGAATAAACTTAAAAAAGAAAAAAAGAAAGATAAAGACCATGGGGGCAGAGCTGTGCTAGCTCAGACTGGAGGCCACAGACCCCATACAGCATCCACCTTGGAGGAAAATGTGATGGAGAGGACACAAAGAACACAGGCAGTGTCCCCCTCCCCCACTCCCCCCAGGGCCACAGTGCTCTGGGGAGAGACTGGCTGTGGCCAAAGCTGCAAAAACCCCCACTTACTATAATCCGAGATCCCCACAATATATAAATGTGCCCTAACCTAACAAAGGAAGTTGTGACCTAGATACCACACTCATCATGAGTGGTGATTTTTTTAAAAAGTAGAACAGGAAAAACCAATGGAGGTTATAAAGTAAAGAAATATTACAGAAATCATGAGCACACCACAAAAGGGTCAGAAGCAATAAATCCAGATAGGGCTAAAGAGCATGAAAAAGCCACAACAAAGGGAGGTCTCGCTTTGACAATCTACAACAAAGCAGACCACACACATACCCTGGGACCCCTCGCTTGTGGCTTCAGTTTCACTATTGCTACCTCGGGCATGCACGTGGTCATGTATCTGACGCTGGACTTCCCTGAGACGGGCCCTCTCTGCAGTGTACTAGTTCCTCAGTCCGTAAGGGTCAACGATCAGCACCCTAGAGAAACGCACCTATCCACTGCATAATTTTGTTGACAATTTCTTTTTTTTTCTTTTTTAATGTTTTTTTAAATTTATTTTTGAGAGTCAGAGAGACAGCGTGAGCAGGGGAGGGTCAGAGGGAGAGAGATACAGAATCTGAAGCAGGCTCCAGGCTCTGAGCTAGCTGTCAGCACAGAGCCTGATGCGGGGCTCGAACCCACAAACTGTGAGATCATGACGTGAGCCCAAGTCAGATGCTTAACCAACTGAGCCACCCAGGCGCCCCAACAATTTCAAGGATACCCAGCATCCGATAACTTGTCCTATGTTTTGGTTGAACACTCATGAGCTGGCAGCAGATCACAGCCCCTTACATTAATGGCAACATCCTTTCCCTCTTCTACGGACCTCTGTGCTACGGCAGCCACATCTCACCTGTAATCTGCGTAAACTCCGGGACAATAGAAGAGAGCTGTGAAGACACTTCTATCTCTACAAATGGTGTCCAAGGTCAGTGTTATCCCATACACCGAGGTGAGCAAGAAGATCGAAAGGGCAAGTATAAATGCTTGATGATTTGATTCTCCAACACAGCTATTTATCCTCAAAACAGCATAGGGGGAAGAAAAAGCAAACATTTTTAAAAGTTGTTGATACAGATGGTAGCTAGATTCATCATGGTGATCATTTCATAATGAACATAAACACTGAATCACGATGCCGTGCATCTGAAAGTAATATAACATTGTAGATCAAGTTCAGTTCAATGAAAAAGAAAGAAAAGTTCCCCATATAACTCACATAATAAACAAGAAAACTGTAAAAACAGGGATAATGTGACTATCAGTAACTAAAAACTAAGTTCTCTTATTTTTCAACTTGAGGGAATTAAACACTTGCCCACTGAGAGGTGGAGTCTCAAAGACTCTGCTCTTTCCAAAGTGAAATTATATCATTAGTTTAAGGACAAACTAAGTTAAAAGCAGAAGCCAGCTAACAAATAGTAACAAATCTATTACCCAACTATGAAGAGAGTTAATACTGTAGCCACCATGTTGAGGAAAGGGTGATATCAGTTATGAAAACTTAAAAATACTAAACCAGAATTATTTTACAGTATAGGAAAAAATACGTTAAATATATATGTGTATATACACACACACACAGCAACACAAAAATCCCAAGAGGTCAGAAACGTGGCATGGGGTGGAGAATGACTCGCTAATACACAGACTACTCCTCAGGGGAAAAGTTCTGTCTCATGACCAGGTGGAGGGCAGTGGACTGGCATCCCTGGTGCCCACTGCACACCAGATGCCCATGTGGGCAGAGATCTTCTACACAGAGCTGTCAGGCCCCCTGCAAACCAGCCCTGTAAACAGGCCGCCACCACACACACACACACACACACACACACGCACGCACGTGCACAAGAATACATGACGAACACCCAGAAGTGGAAAACTGAAAAGTGAAAATACCTGTTCACTCCTAAAGAAAGTCCCAGAAAAGAGCTGTCCCTGTACCTGAACCCACACCTGAGGTCCGCTCCAAGGCCCTCCTGGCCTTGCTGCACCCTCCTCCTCCTCCTCCAGGTCCCCTTCTATGGGCGGGGGCAGGGTGGGGCGGGGCAGGCTACACTCCCAGAATCCTCAGCATCCTAGCCATAAAACGCATAGTTCCCTGACCACAAGTGCCTGGAGAACTAGAGCAGCAAACGCACTACTTAGAGCACTGGCATCAGAAGAGCTACACCCCCTTTCAGATTCACTCCGTGAAACAAACAGCAACACTGTCTTCAAAAGTTACACTCCATGCTGTATGGGCCTTATGTGTCCTACTTCGGCACTGGCCAGCTGGGAGGTACCAAAAAAGCCCCACTTTCAGGGCACCTGGGTGGCTCAGTCACTTAGGTGTCTGACTCTTCATCTCCACTCGGGGCATGATCTCGTGGTTTGTGGGTTTGAGCCCCGCGTCGGGCTCTGTGCTGATAGCGCAGAGTCTCTCTCTCTGCCCCTCCCCTGCTCTCTCTCTCAAAATAAACAAAATTTAAAAAAAAAAAAAAAAAGCCCACCTCTCTATAAATAACAAAACAGGAAGGCACCTGGTAGCGCCTTCCCTCAACAACGCAGACCAGGAGTCACGAGAACGGGAAAGGACGTACGGTGAGGGGACAGGGTCACCTACAAACACAGGAACACTTTCTCGAGCTGTGTTCAAAAGGTACAGCAAAGGGAAACGTGCCTATACGGAGTCTGATCCCTTCATTTTTTGAAAACACCGTTTGGCTGCAGATACATCTCTTGCAGGAAGGAGAAGGTAACTGAGGGGCAGCTCAGAAGGGAACAGCAAAATAGCACCACCACCACCACCACCCTTCAGGGAACGACTGAGGGGGCTACATCTGTGAGACTGGGAAGCTGGTGACTCAGTGGGAACATCACACCAGAGCACAAATATCTGCAAGGTGTAAAGCTGGCAACGAGTGAGATTTCAGGGGGCGCAAAGGGAGAGCAAACGCGGCCAGAGTCTCGTGTGAATTTACACTCTGCGAGCCCCCAGATTTCCCCAACATACCAGACACAATGGTGGTCCATTCTCCTCACACAGATGCCACAGATCCGGCAATGCCACGCCCGGGCTGGTCGCACCAGCTGGCACTTGGCACACCAGTCCTCCTTGACCTTAGTGGGGCTTCCAGCCAGCGCCCTGGAAGAGCCCTTGGGATCATCCTTCGGCGTGCGGTTGTTGAGACTGCCAGACGTTTCTGCGCCAGGGAACCCTTTGGTCTTCTGCCCTTTTCTGTTCAGGCATTCAGCCTGGCTGGTGCTGAGAGATCTGTCACTGCTTGCTGGATTTCTGAGGTAGCCTGGATTCTTCTTGGCTCTGTACAAGGCTAAGAGTATCAGAAACAACCCGCAGGTAAGAAGAGCCAGCTGAGTAGGCCCCACACGCCCTTTGGGGACCACTTCCTGCAGGAATACATAGTACATGTAGCCCAGAGAGAACAGTCCGAGGCTCAGGAAAAACAGAGTCTGTTCTTTCCTTCTGTGAGTGAGGTAGTAGTACCACAGAGCCAGCACAGGAAGGGAGGTCAAAACCACCACCCCCAGGAGGAAATGCCAGGAAGCCACGCGGAGGAAGACGGGCAGGAGGATGAGTGGGGGGATGATGCTAATGTTAACTTTTTTGGCTCCCCGAAGCCAAGGAATTCGGAGGCGATCGGAAATAGTATCCATGATTCTTTCGCAAGTCTCTGGTTGCACGGATTTACATGTAATCCATCTATTCAGAAGAGCACAAAGAGAAGGCACTTCACATGGGGTTTGCTGAATGAAAAACCACTGAACACCCTAAGCCAAACAGCAGGATAAATGATGACAGAGGCCAAAGGCCAATATTCTGCTTCCATACTACTAAGCGCGAGCTTTCCGGATCACGTATCATTGTTTAAAATGAAAGAGAAGCTACCATTTAGAAATTCAACAGTTAAAACCATTTCTCCTTGAAGCAAATACACAGGAATACACAGACATTCTGTACAAGTACTGTTTAGATTTAGAAGGGTATAGAGACATAAGATCCTCAAAACAATCGACAATCTAGCTGCGAAAACAACCTGGGAATTCAGGAAACATCAGGTAAGAGACAAAGGAGCAAAATCACCCAGTGAACTAGTGTGGGCAAACACTGGGAGGAGCACTCAGAGGAGAGTGAACACTTCTGGGTGGAATCACTAGAGAGGTCTCTGTGAACAAAAGGTGGGCTCTGCGCCCGACCCCGAGGGCTGGCTGGTACTGACTGGTGTGGGGAGCCGGCGGGGGGGGGGGGGGGGGGGGGGGGGGGGGGGGGGGGGGGGGGGGGCGCGGGGGGGACAGGAGGCAGGGAGGCGGCCCACCGCAGAGGCATGTGTACAGCACAACCCTGTCCTGTGCCCAGGGAGTAAACCAGTCTAGCAAAGCCAGGGGGCTGCCTAAGAATGGAGATCAAACTGGTAAGGAGAAACGACGGAGCTTCGTGGACACACGGTATTTGTTGGCTTTTTGTGGACACTTGGGCTCATAAGACAACGGTCAGTTCAAGGAATAACTGACCACAGACAGACAATTTGGAAAAGTAAGGCGACAACTCGAGCGTGAGGGGAGATGACCACATGGGAGCGGTACAGGGCAGCAGGACAGTGGAAAGACCGGGAATCTATCTTCGGAGAAAGGTAAGGAGAGAACTCAGCAACAGCCCAGGTCTCCAGGGCTAGGAGAGAGGAAGAGCTGGAAGGTTAATGGAAGCGCTGTGGTCTCAACTGATGGAAGTTATGGAAACAGCATCATTTTCCCATTCCTTAAAGCAGGGTGCTCCATTTGCTCAGTATGAACTTTAAACGGAGTCCATTTAAAAACACCTGTAAAAAAGACTACAGACACTGTCAAGGAAGAATTACAACAGGACTGTAGGTCTTCAGGCCTCTGGTAGTAAACTACAATGTCACAAGACCGCTTTTCATGTCGACACGGATGCACCAAGCTCTAAGTCCGCAACGTGCCTCTGCGGTGACTTTTTTAACCGGAAATAATTATTCAAAGGAAAGGCAACTTGCCAAATGTCCTTATTCTTCTCCTACACTATGCTTTCCGTATGGCAACAGTTTTTAGATATATAATTATTTACAAAATGGATAAACACCTCGTTATTACCGTTGGGCACCAAATTTTTCTCATTGATGTTAAAAGTCATCTTTTTGGACAGTAATTTCCAACACTTAGGACTGATGCTGAAAATAAAAGCCAAATACAATTATCGGTCAAGACCATGTTGCTGCCCACGCTGCAAACAGCCAGGCAGGGGAAGGAGGTGCCTTCTGGTGAGACCAGTTCCAACAGCAGGAACGTGATCATTCAGCCCGCAAGACCCTTTGCAGCCGGGTGCAGCCCAGCCTCAAGTAGTTGGTCACAGATGCTGAGATGACTGAGAATGTAGGCACTTCCTGGTACTAATGTGCTCATTTTAAATTTACGGATTCTGGGGGCCTGCACTTCATTTTTTTTTAAATACATTTAACATGTCACTATCCCTTTATTTGCCTGTTCTCTCCATCATCTTCTCTCTTTAAAAATAAAAAAAAAAAATAATGTCCTACTTAACCGAGCTGAATAGACAGCTGTGCAGTTGTGCACTACTGAGTAATCCACCTTTACAAAACCCTCACACTGGACACAGAAGACAACTCTCAATTTTAGATCCTTGGGAATAGCATCAGGAGCAAATCCTAGTGTTGGGGATGGCTAAGCTTAAAGTATGCTTGGTAGTTTTCAAAAGGGCCAGGGGCTCAGCTTCAAGAAACACTCGGCCCCTTACCTATCGCACCCTTCATCGAGATCTTGGCAATCACATAAACAGGCAGCCACGTGGTTCTTTTCCCCATTTCGATCTATGTACTCGCAGCAGCACAGGGGCTCCAATTCAGGTTCTTCCGCTTTGTTTGTCTTCACTGGCTTCATACTGCCCTTCTGTGTCACGATTTCCACCTGTCACCATGAGTGGTAAGAAGCCCTCAGAAGGTAAAGGTGGAAAGAACACAACACATCTTGTAAACACATCCACACCTCTCTCTGATTTTCCGCCAACGCCTGAGAAATCAAAAATGAGAAGAAAGGGGGGAGGGGAGGGGGTGTCTCGTTCTCATCAGGCTTTTCTCTCTCGGCTTGGCCAGACACGGAGCTCTAGGGGCTCCGAGCCGCGTTCACCGCCCCTTCGCACCAAGGCTGGAGCCGTCTGGGCACCAGCCGTTCCCATGGTGACAGCCGACCACACGGCCCCGGAGAGCCAGGGCGCGGGCGGCTGCGCTCACCTGCCGGTGCAGGCTGGGGAGGGCCGAGCGGTCCCCGCCCAAAGCCTGGGCGCAGGTGGAAACTCACCCTCGGGGTTGCGGCCGGCGTTTGCACCCGGCTCGGGGGAGGCCCCCAGGCGCCCGCGCAGCGCTCGGAGTCGCTGTCCAGCCCCACCGCTCCGGCTCCTAGCAGGGCGCCCCTCTCCCGCCTCCGCCGACCGTGAGGACGTGGGAGGGCCGCGAGCGCCGCCCCGCCCCGCCCGAAGAATGACCTTGGAAGGCAAGTTACCTGCGCTCCAGGGCCGAGGTGCAGCTGCAGCCAGAAAGGCCGAGGTGGAGGGGAGAACGGCCGTTTCCTCCCGAGGCGCGGACGCGTCTGCCCAGCTCGGAGCCGGGGGGCTCTCGGTGTGACGGCTGGAGTCTCCTGGACCCCGGCACCGCTCCGCCGCGCCTTCGCCGCCGCCCACCTGTGAGCACAGCCGGCCACGGCCCGGCAGTGCGCCCGCCGCCCCCCTGCCCGCCGGGATCGGCGTGGCAGGTCCGCGCGCGCTTCCGGGTGCCCCGCCTCCGGCGCTGGGGATACCCGCCCGCACGTGCGCCGCCCGCCGCCCCGCGGAGCCCGCCGGTGAGACCCCTCCCCCGGCCCGAGGCCTGACGACCCGAGGACGCGGGGATCGGAGGACCGGAGGACGCGCTCGGGGCGCCGGCGGCGGGACGCAGGGCTGGCCCGGCACCTCCGCCCCGCCCGGCCCCCGTGCGGCCCCGCCGGTGCCTGCGGGCAAGCGGCACGTGGGCGGGGCAAGCCCAAGCCCACGGCCAAGGGAAGTGCCCACGGAAAAACGGGAACCTCGGGAACCCGGAGGATTCCCAAAGTACTGGGGACTTGTGGGTCGGCCAGCCTTCATTCAACGCGGGCAACAGGCTTAGGCGGAGATCTCCGCCGCGAACTGTTACCTAGGTACCGCCCCCAAATTCTCCAGCCCGCCCCTTAAAGGCCTACAGCCGTCCCTGATCTGTTAATTTATAAAGCTTGTTCATTTTCATCATTTCTGGCAAGGAGATTCTACATTAGACCAGCGGGCCTACTAGTACTTTTGTTCCAACAGTCTGCATATTTGAAATGAAATTATCCGAAGAGTAGAGTCCTCTTTGGATTTTATTTTTGCACAAAATGTTAAAAGAGTGTAGGCCCACATACACTCTTTCACTGTAGCAGCGTTTCTAGGTTTTTTTTTTTTTTTTTGGGGGGGGAGGCTTAACAAAAAAAGAAAAACTACAACTCAGACATTTTGGGTTTTATTGATATCAATTTACATAACAGGTTTAAATGCAATTAATTAAATTCTGCATATATACATGTTGAGTCTTAATCTATAAAGCAACTTTGTTAATTTTCTTTGAGGTATATTTATGAAGTACAAGTTTTAAAGAACATCACAAAAATATTCAGCTTGCCACTGATCATTTTTGTGAATTTAACAAAGAACAAGTCTTCAAGTTTAATATCCAGTGACTCTTGCTCACAGCCAGACACTTCATAAATCCCTATTTAAAAAAACCCCAGGTTAAGTACACAGGTACTCTAAGGTAGGTTTGTTGGGAACCACCCAGAGAAATCCATTTTCCTTGTAATACTTTCATTCTCTACAGGCATCTCAAAAATTACTTTAGCAATCTCATGTGGCTTTGGTGACTCTGGGGAAAAAAACATATAACGAAAGGGAAGCGTTGTCCAAAAGTAAGAATATATACAAATTATTCCGCACTATCTTTCCCTTGTTCCAAAGGCATCATATTGAGACATATATGCCTAAAAACTTTTCATGAAAGAGCCAAAGCTTCTGTGTGACTTAGAACTTCAGTCATTGCACTAGTATTAGGACACAGTGGCCCCAAAAGTTTTTATTGAAGAGCTAAAGTTTGTGTCTGGTTATAACTTACCAATTGAAACAAGGCACACACATGAATGAATAAGTGAAGACATATATGACTACTGAACAGTAATCCGCAGATTATTTTCAACTAGGTGGTTCACTTCCACCATGGAAGAGTGCTAAACTGAAGCCTCACTTAGTTCAAGTATTCATTTGATCTGTCACTAAGTGCCCAGATTTTAAAATAACCCTCTAGTTTTTAAAATCAGAGCATGGTTCTTCATTTTGAGTGTTAGCATCCTACATGCCTCCTTTTCGAGAATTTACTCCTCTGCCATTTGAGACATGAAGAGGCAAGATAATATCACCTCTCATAGCTCCTGAAACAACTATATTTTCAAAAAGATACAACATGGCTCAAGAAACTTTCAGTTAATAATTTCCAAGTTGCAGATTCAAAACTTGATTACTGAATTCCCATACTAAAACAGAGATGAAGACATTGAAATATCTACAGTACTTAGAAATGTTATAATATATGCCTGAAACCTGGTCCTTCAAAATTCGTAATGATAGAGATGTTTATTCTTAAATTGTTTTCCTTAGCATCTTGAATGTATCTCAGCTGGGAAGCAGCCTGTTGGACACGTACTGATTCTTTGCTAACAGATAAAGCATCAAACTTCAAACCTCATTGTAAAACTACTCAGTTCGGAGTGTCTCATTTTCTTTTTGTATCATAGAAATTCAAATCCAAGACATATTTCACTGGAAATATTGACTAGAGAATATTTCCACTGGAGAATTCCACTGCTTAGAATTAGGTATAAGAAGTGAAGGAATGGATTGTTAAGGCCATCAGAGACCAGTCATCACATTAATGTTATTAAAAAGAATGTTCGTATTAGAAATACCAATAATGACAAAATATGGAAATGTTCCTGTGACAATTCAAATCCTTCATCCTCTGGTTTTCTTCAAGATGTTTGCTTTTAGTTCCAAGTATCTCTACTTCAGGCCTTGCGATCACTAGCTTTTGACAGTCATGCCAGTCTTGTTCTTGTTTAGTAGATCAAAAGTTCTCTGAAGCATAACGAGTGAGCTCTTTAACTGCAGACAAAATTAATTTTCAAAATCGGATTAAACTTTATCTGATTGTTTTTATGCCAAAAGGTTACGTTTATATATTCAACATAGTTCTGTTTCTACTGATGCCCAGATGAAAGACCGAATTTATAAAACAGCCGGCTGCTTCGGGTACAGGTACGGGTCAGTACGCCTGCTCAGGAGCTCTTCCTGTCTGCAGTGGCCCGCTCTTCTCCCTGTACGGTCCTGCTGCTCATTCTGCCTCCCAGCAGGTGGTTTCCTTAAATGGTTTCTTAAGTGGCAATGGTCTTGCCACTGTCCCCTGAATGACTCGAGTTCCACCTCCAGGCCTTTGTTCACTATTTCCTTCATGCTGTATTCACCCATCTGAAACTCCCCCATCCCCCCCATCCCCATGCATGCAACCTTCCCTCATCATCCTGCCTTTGAACTCCCAAAGCATTACTACTTACTTGACATTTAACTTTCTACTTTTTTTTTTTTATTTTGAGGAGAGTGCACAGGGGAGAGGGAGGGAGGGGGTGGAGAGAGAATCTCAAGCAGGCTTTGCTCCAATGGGGGGTGGGGGGGGGTGTGATTCCCAACCCTGCAATCATGATCTGAGCGGAAACCAAGAGTTAGTTGCTCAACTGACTGAGCCACCCAGGTGCCCCAACTTTGTACATTTTTATAGTTTTTAACAACACACATGGACATCTGATTTTTCTAATCAAATTATAGGCAACTTGAGAGCAAGAATTCTTCTTCTTTGTATTCATTCATTTGTTCATTCAGTAAATGGTAATTGCTTACCTCGTAGATGCTGGGTTTGCACTGAGCTCAGCACTGCATGTACAATGGTGAACCAAATAGGCACCGTCCCTGCGGTCCTGGAGTTGACAGACTAGTCAGGGATACAGGGCTCACACAATGTATTCAATTTCTGACTGGAGGTTTGTAGTGTCATTTTCTGAGATTATGTCAACTAGAAGAGAATTAGGCCTAGCTCAGGATGAAAACTGAAGTCTGCATGATCAACGTGTGGTGGCCTGTTAGCATCCAGGTGAAGATGCCAAGTCAGCAAGTAACCGCGTGAGTCTGGAGCTCAGGGAAGAGTTTAGGATAAGCGAGAAGGATACGGGAATCAATGGCACACGTGGCACAAATTAGGGGAGTGAATGAGGCCACCCGAAGGGAAGGTGAGGAGAAGAGAAGAGAATCTAATGAAGAAAGTCTGGAGCATTGGGCCAGGAACAGGTCAAGTAGAGGAGATAGTTTCAACCAGCAAAAGGTCGTTTTACTTTATGCTAAGCCAAAGAAGCCAGTCACAAAAGACCATATAGTATATGATTCCATTTATATGAAATGTCCAGAGTGGGCAAACCCATAGAAATAAAAAGTAGATTAGTGACTGTAGAAGCTGAGAGAGTTAAAGATGGCGAAAGACTACTAATGGATATAGGGTTTCTTTTGGGGATGATAAAAAATGCTCTGGAATTAGTGGTGATGGTGGTATAACTTTGTGATTATATTAAGAATTCCTTAAAAGGTGAATTTTATAGTATGTCAATTATATCACAATAAAGCTGGGTTTTTATGGTTTTAAAGAAGGCAAGATTAGATACATTGCAAGAAGAGTGGTCAGCTCTGTCAAACACTCATGCTGTAAGATGAAAACTAAAAAAAAAGCTATATTAATTTTAACAGCCAGAGTCTGCCACTGGGGACTTTGGCACAAGCAATATCAGTGGAAAGTGTGGGGAAGAAAACAAGGCAGGAGTGAGCTGAAGAACGACTATAGGCTTAAATACAGGCATCCAATTTTGCTCCGTCCCGAAATCCCACTAAAAGCACAAAAAAAGAGACTCTTTAAAGGCATAAATCCACATGGACAGGGAGAACAGAAAGGCGAAAGCAGCAACATAGCTTTGGAAACAAGAAAGCAGCTGGATGACTAGGAGACCAGAAAAACTAGACTCCTAAGCTAACTGCAGAGAAAGCGGAGAACCAACCAAAGCTACCCTGAAGGATCCTCAAAAGCCTCAGGAATTGACAGGAATCCCTGGAAGTGGGAATAAAGAAGAGGGACTAATGTAATGACTGGATGGCATTTGAGCTCTTCTACTACCTGGTAGAAGTCTACAATTTTATTTTCTGGAGAGGATAGAACGGAGGACCTCTGGTTGACCCAGGGACAATAAGACACCGTTTAGGACAGCAGTGTCGTCCCCAAGATGGAAATTATGTGAAAAAGTGTTGAGACCATCGTCCTCTGCCCTGCCCTCTTCCATCCCTCTACTTTCACTCTGCTCCTAAAATGCTGGCAGCCAGCCTTAATCCTTTGGGTGGAGACTGGAAGACTTTTCTCTATAGAAACTGACCAATCTAAGATGAAAGGCCTAAAGGTGGTGATATCAGCATTTCCCAAACAACAGCCCAACCAGATCTACAGAGAAGTTCAGGAGACACCAGCCCAAACGACATTATAAGCTTAAGAACTTCTGATCTGCACAAGCAGACAACCAAGGACTACAGACATCTACTGAAATCTAACTTTAAGGATAGAAACCAAAATGGGGGAA